ATATCCTTATGAATAGTAAGGCCAGTTTTCTTATAGAGACGTTCAAGCTGTCGGCCTTTAGCTTTCAGTAGCCGGAGTTCAGGGGTGTACCAGGGTGCAGAGCGAGAAAAAAGTACAGTTCTGGTTTTTTGTGGAGCCAGGGAATTTAAAATACTACTAAGGCTATGATTATAAAAAAGTACCAGGTCCTCTTGAATAGCTAAGTTGTTAGAAGACAAGCAGCTAGAAAAAGCAGAGGAAAGGATATCAAGATTTATATTCTTGATATTCCGGAAAGAGATAATACGGGGATTGTTAATTACAGAGAGGGTCATGTGAACATTAAAGGAGAGAAGTAGATGGTCCGAAATTAGCAGTTCGTCAGCTGTACAGATGGAGGGGGTAAGTCCAGAACAGCAGACTAGGTCCAAAGTGTGGCCCTTAATGTGGGTAGGGAAGTTTATGTATTGTTTAAGGCTGAAGCTATCAAGGCAGGATAGAAGGTCCTTGGTAAGAGGATGGTCGCAGTTATCCACGTGAACGTTAAAGTCACCCAGCAATATTATATTAGGGGAGACAGTAGCTAGATTGGTCAGCAGATCGGCAAAGTCACTGATAAAAACAGAATTAAATTTTGGGGGGCGGTAGATGACAGCTATTACAGTTGGGGTAGGTCCTGAAAGTTGACAAACAACAGATTCAAAGGAGCTGTACGTAGGGGCGGACAGCGGCGAGACTTTCCAGTTCTCGCGATAGATTATCGCGAGGCCACCACCACGGCCGGACTCGCGAGGTTGGCAGGTGTAAACAAACCCCGGGGGGTGGAGTCGTTGAGTTGCGAAAAGTCATTGGGCTGTTGCCATGTCTCAGTCAAGCAGAAAAAGTCAAACTTACGGTCTGTTAGGAGATCCTGGATGAGATGTCCTTTGTTCGTAAGCGAACGGATATTAAGCAGGCCAAAGTTGACAGAAATACTGTCGGACTGGATGAGAGTGTTAGCCGACCTAGGCAGACTAGTCAGAACATTGTGGTCAATAGACCTGCAGGGGTTCCGTTGAGAGCGACCAGAGGTGGACCAGAAGGACTGAATTGGTTTGGAATTATCCTGATGGAAATACCGACGGGAGCCTCGATGTACGTACTTTCGACGAGGGAGGAAGGCAATGTCCGTGTGGAAATGAAGAGCAGCCAACGGCGGAGCAGCTAAAGAGAAGCGGAGCCGGAGGAGCTCATCAGCTGTATATTGATGAAGTCCAGTGCCGAGTCGGTAGATCGATGACATAAGGATCCAGACCCACACTGAGAGTACATAGATCCTGAAAGGCCACATCATGGACAGGAACAGCCGGGTAGGGACACCGGTGGGCCTTAGAAACAGGAGTAGGACAAAGTCCAGAAGTCCAGAGTCCAGTAGCGTTAACGTTAGCGATAGTGGTGAGTGGCGGCCGGTGAGTAGCGGCAGCCAGTCGCGCCAGCGTTCACTCAACCGGAAGAATGTTACTTCTTCCCACTGTTTTTGAGCACCTGTTGTACCAGAGGACAATGCTTTATTTTGCATATATGCTCAATAATCAATCAAACAAACTCATGAGCAGGGTAGGCTTCTGCTCATTGTGTTGTTGGGATGAAACGTGTGCACCTCTGTTCATGAAGAGATCTAGAAGCTCACTGGAATCTCACTCATCAAAACACTTGTTTGTCTGTCGCAACAACCTCGCACAAACCTTTTCTTCCTGAATAACAAAACCTGAATAAGATCATAAAACCTTTGTGTTTATGTTGTATTGTTGCATTGTTAACTGCAGCCCTTTAGCAGGCTCTGTTTTCAGAGGGAGTCCGAGGATTGATCACTCTATGCAGCAGGCTCTGGATGGGTAGAAGGACGACTCCAGCAGCACACTGGTCACTCATGTCACGATCTCTGTCCTGTAAGTGGGACAGGACTGTGTTTTACAAAACTTTACGTCTTATTACAGAATATTTGTTCTTCAAAGAACAGGTACACAAATGAAAGTCTATTTTAAGATACACTAAACAAGGTAAAGTTGTATTAACTGCGTTGTGTTATGTTCAACTTTTTATTTATAGTTTTTTACATTCAACTATTTCATAAAATGTAAATAGAACCTAAATCAAAGTGTCATATATTTTGTATTTACAATGTAACTGATGAAAAGAAAAAACATGAAAAACAAAGTGCTGCAGTTTCAATTCGTGCTGAAGCCTGATTAGTCTTTATCAACTGCATCTCAGTCAAATTGGCTGAAAAGAAGCATTACGTGGCACAATTTTCACATATTTAATGACGCAGTGATCTGTGCTGCATATTTATATATTGCACATATGTTAAACCCAAGGGTTAAAAATATTAATGTCGACACTATAGAGTCAAAGGTGAGTGTTCAGCAGGTGCAATTTTATAGACTGGAAACTTAAAGCTCACATGTAATGTCCTAATTAATTTTAGAAATTTAAAATCAGATATTGAATTTATAAAATGGTGTTTTTCTTGCTTATTTTTGTGACGCTTCTTGCAGAAAAAAGCTGAAGTAGACAAATATTTATTTATTCACAGGCAGTTTAGTACAGCATAAACTGGCTAGTTCATTGTGATAAAATTTACAGTGATGTCTTACATTTGACTGTCTAAATGTTGATTACATTAGCATTAGTAGACATTCATGTTTTCAAATGATATTGAAATTACATCCAGGACTCAGGAATAAAGCCACACCCCCGACTCCACCTCTCAGCCCCTCACACATGCAGAGAAAAAAGTGAAAAAAATCTGTAAGCGTGAAAAGAAAGAAACATGTAAAAGCAAAAGAACCATTAGTCTGAACAATTTTATCACAAAAAAACGCAACGTTTCCTTTTTTAGTTTCAGTTTTTACTCTTAATGGCAATTTTTTTAATAGCAAAGCCAAGAGTTCCTGTTCTGGCACCGTGCAAAGCTGACACCATGCCAGAAACGCCATAGAAACTGTGCATTGAATTTTGAGATGGATCTTCAGGGAGAATTGAACATAAAGTAAAGTTTGTAAATCACTGATCTATAGCATCCAACCAAGGAACCCTTCAAGGACCTCCTTAATCCCACCTGCAAGTCTTACATGGAGGAAGCAGAGTCTGGGGACGAGGGGGACAACCGTCTATCTGCTGGGATGAGGTCACTGAGGCAGTTAAACAACTCCTTGGCGGCAGAGCCTCTGGGGTGGATGAAGTCTGCCCCGAGTTCCTAAAGGCTCTGGATGTTGTAGGGCTGTCTTGGTTGACACGCCTCTACAATGTTGCGTGGAGATCAGGGCCAGTACCTCTGGATTGGCAGACCGGGGTGGTGGTCCCCATCTTTAAGAAGGGGACCAGAGGGTGTGTTCCAACTATAGGGGGTCACACTCCTTAGCCTCCCTGGGAAAGTCTATGCCAGGGTGCTGGAAAGGAGAGTCTGTCCGTCAAACTTCAGATACAGGAGGAACAATGTGGTTTTTGTCCTGGTCGTGGAACACTAGACCAGCTTAGGCTGCTGCCACCGCCACCTGCCTTCGGATAAGCGGAAGAAGATCAATGGATGGATGGATTACTTAATATTTCCACATATATATACTTTTAAATCTCTTTGCAAAGAGTTTAGTTAGGTTTAGGTTCAGGGTCTAAACTTCAAAAATTAATGTAAAAACCAGTGATCCCTAAAATTTGTAAGATTTATATTTCAAAAAGAATTACTGAACATTTTGTGGACTATTTGTTTGGGTTTTATTTTTCTAAAGATGTTAGGGATTAAAAAACTAGAATCTTTGGCAATCTTTGACATATTTTGAAATAAAAAATTTCTCTATTTCATGTCTTTCCATGAATAAAGATGAAAGGTTCACTAGAAGAAGGGAAAAGTTTTCTGTTATTTCAGTGTGAAGGCTTTATATATACTGGCAGGTTCTTATTAGAACACCCTGGATAAAGGAAAGAAGAACAGATGTGTAAACAAACTTTAAAGTCTTCTGACGCTCTGATTGGGGTTGGATATGAAATATTCACCAATAGGTGTGGATAGTCCTATTTTTGGCTCTCAGTCAGGACGCTCCATTTTTTTGTTTTCATTCACAATGCTGCACTTCTTTCCATAAAAAAGCATTAGATGAGCCAGATGGCCGTAGCTTCCAACTACGCCGACTCACATGAAATATTCAGCCAGGATCTTTATGGTTTTTTAAAAAACAGGTTACCGGATACATAAGCACCTGTTTATGAGTTTAGCTGGCCTCCCCCAAAACACAAGCATCCTATTTCCTTTGCTCTTTTTTCTTCAATTGAAAATGGTTTTAAAGACACTTCATGGTAGGCAGCTATAACATTTTATCCACATTGCCATGGCTGACTTTGGCTTCTCAAAGTAAATATAAGCTACCACCATAAATTCATAATTGAATTGAATTTTGCATTGAATTATCTTAAAGGCCTCATAGTACCATATAACCCCAACAAGCACTGTGCTCTCAGACCGTTGGCTTGTTGGGGTTCCTGGATGTTTCAAAGTATTATGGGAGGCAGAGCCTTCAGCTTTTAAGCCCCTCTCCTGTGGAACCAGCTCCAGTTTTTCATTTGGGAGACATGCTCTCTACATTTAATATTATCCTTAAGACTTTTATTTTTGACAAAGCATATAGTTAGCACTGGATCAGATGACCCTAAGTCCTCCCTTAGTTATGCTGCAATAAACTTAGTGCATCATAGGAAGCTCCGAGCAGTTTGAGTATCTCTCCTTCTCTCACACCTTTTTACTCCCTGAGTGTTTATACACCAATCTGCATTTAATTATGAAGTAATATTAATCACTGGCTCTCTTCCATGGCATGTCTTTTGTCCTGTCTCCCTCATCCTCAACCAGTCGCGGGTGACGTCTGCCCCTCCCTGAGCCTGGTTGTGCTGGAGGTTTCTTCCTGCTAAATGTGAATTTTTCCAACCACACACTTCTTTGGGTTGGCTGTGAGCCCTGCCTGCCTCAGGGACTCCAGGACCCCAGCCACATGCTGCATATGCTCCGATCAGGTGTCACTGTGGATGATGACATCATCCAGGTAGGTGGAACTATCTGCAGTACCTTTTCCTTAGACTCTGGAGAATACAAAATCTGCCAGTAGCCCTTGGTTAAATCCGGTGTCGGAAAAAACAACCAGTGCCTAAGCAGTCGAGGAACTCACAGACCCGGGGCATGGGTTGGGGGTTAACCCTAACCCTTTGCTCTTAGGTTCAGAACATACTTATTTCCATATTTAGCTAAGCTTGGACCTTCCTCTCAGTTTTCTTTAATTAGGCCCAAGAACAACACCTTTCTGCCAAACAGCAACTCAAGGGGAGAAAATTGTGCAGAGGCCTGGGACACCTAATGCACCGCAAACAACAAAGGATCTAACCAGCGACCCCAAATGTGCTCATCCTCATCTTCGCTATCATCCATCAGTTTTCATCACGTGGTTAAAGGCTAAGCGTAGGATGCTCTCACGAGTAGGGATGGGTATCGAAACCCGGTTCTTGTTGAGAACCGGTTCCCACTATTTCAGTTCCTTGGAGTTGTTTGCCATTTTTACAAACGATTCCCTTATGGATTCCAGTCGCCCCGAATGACGTCGCCACGTTGCGGAGCGTCATTTACCTGACAGGAAACACGGCGCCTAAGCTCAACGCTCAAAAGCTTGGTCATACTTTACGAGGACGGATGACAACAGGGCAACTTGCAACACTTGCAAAGCAGATATTTCATTTAAGGGAGAAACACTACGAATATGCAAAAGCATTTGCTCACAAAACACGCGATGACCTTAAATGAATGTCGTGTTTTTAATTCCGGACTCGTGAATCTCAACCCAGCAGCAGCAGTAACGTTTGCACGTCCTCTCCCGCTTAATGCGCAGGTAAATAATCAACTAACAGTGCATATTATGTTAGCGCGATCTGCCTTATTACAAACCTGCCATTACTGTGCATTTAGTGACCATGATGAGAGACAGAGTCTGGCTCAGATGCTGGCAGCTCTCGCTGCAGTCTACCGGTAGCGTCTCCTTTCAGACCAGGATAGACGAATGTCACCGAGCAGTGACTCAGTTTGTGGTCAAAGGCTTGCACCCATTTGCCACAGCAGATGTAAGTGAATGTGTTTAATTGTAGGCAGGGACATTACTGGATATTCTTGTGTAATTGCTACAGAATCATTTATGTTATACTTTGTTATTGCTACAGAAGAATATTTATTTTATTATTTCACATTTACAAATTTTTTCCCGGGGACCCTGTGACACCCCATTGAAGAGCCGTAGGCTGGATCTCTTAAGATCTCATGTTGGGTTTGTAAGGCCATGTTACTCCTAAATTTCTATCTTGTTCAAAGAGAAGATATAAAACAAAGTTCTAAGCTAATCGACCTTAGTGTTCTCCTTTTTTAAAAATAAGAATCGATAAAGAATCGATAAAGAATTGTTAAACAGAATCGAAAATGGAATCAGAATCGTGAAAATCTTATCAATACCCATCCCTACTCACGAGACTTCTCTAGCGGAAAACCGTTCATGGAGTGAATTAACAGAATCGGTGGGACGTCCTGTGAAAGCCTGCAGTTTCCTCCTCCTCAGATTCAATGTCGATGACCCCATATCACTCCTGAGCGCTGCACAGACACTGCATCTCCGTACCTGTCGTGAATGCATCCCTATACACTGTTCCATCAACCTCCCAAATCCATCCCTGGAACTGGAGACAGAGATGGGGGCACACCAACACCTGCATCTGGTGCTCAGTCTGGATCTGTAGAGTTAAATGATTGTTGGGATGCCACGACTGTTACTAGTGCATATTTAATTAAACAGTTTTTGATTTCAGTTGCCTAGGCAACCCAAAATGATCTAGTGATAGCCTTTTTTTTTTTGTTTAAACTCAGTTAAAAGCTAAACCTCTTTTTCTGGGATCTTATATATCTTTCATTCTGGGACTATCATAAGGAAGACTGCTGCTGTTAATAAGGTTAGAGAGGTGTTTTTCTTTCTCTATCTTTTTCCAGGAGAGGAGCAGATGCTAGACGAGCTCAGACGTGGACGGAGTGGAGAAGAAGATCTGCGGCAGAGACGGCATGATAATACTTGTTTTTGTTGTGCTATAAAACTGTATTGCCCGCTTACAGAGGCGTCCTTTTTGTGAAGCAAACCACTGGCTCACACTGGGGTCCAGCACACTGTAACTGCTTAATTTCAACTGCTGAAGCAAATTAAATCATTTTAAAGACAGTCGTTCTCCTGTACTAAAACGAACACAACAGATCTATTAAATAAACTTCAGGCCACACAAATCAGCATTTCAAAATGTCCCATAATCATGACTGTGCAGTCACTCATGCAGTTATGTGACTTGTATAAAACTCTTGCGCTTTATTTAAATTTAGGTTCCGGTAGTGTTTTAATCACTGTGATCACAATACTACATGTTTCACACCTATTTAAGAGTTTTTCAAGCTAGCTGTATAAAAAGTCCACATACTGCTGGTTAAGAATGTGTCATAGTAGGGGAGACCGGGGATAGTTGTAACGTGGGTCAGTTGTAACACTTCCAATTTCTCCAATCAGGGCTAAGTTTCAAATGATGTGACTCATCCTGTGCATGCCCAATTCAGTTCTGCTATCACATGTGAAAAATCAGCACATTTTGTCAAACACAGACAATTTAACACGAAAAAAAGCAAGTTTTTATACTTTATTTCAATTTCTAATAGCATTATCTGCTTTGCACTTAAACTCATCAAACTTAAATTATGTTATTTGTATGCCTATGGGGATATATTCTGTGTAAGTCTTTAGAGCTAATGTTTTAGCCGTTGGCTGTAATGTTAGCTAGTTCATGGCTATAGGAGTCTGGGTCAGTTGTAACAATAATGCAGATGTTACAACTTGCCACACTATTACTTTAACTTATATTAAACAAGTTGGGCCAACGACATCAGCAGAGAGACGTTCACTGCACCTTTGTATATGTGGTTAATGCCATTGGCAACACAATTCCTCCACTGTTTGTGTTCCCACACATACATTATGCAGACCTCTGTGTCAGAGATGGACCAGTAGGAAGTATTGGTAGTGGAAATAAATCAGGATGGGTGCAAGAAACAGATTTCCTCATCTTTCTGAAGCACTTTGCAAACCACACCAAGGTAAGCCATGATAAAAAGTAATGGAATTGCGATGCTGGTGAACAACTACATTTTTTCAGCTTCATTGTTATGTTCAAAATTGGTGCAAGAGTTGTAGGTTATAATGCTCACTGAGCCAATGAGGCCAAACTCAAGGAAGACCAACCAAAATTAATGAAATATTCAGTTGCAGAAAATTCCATAATTTGTCTTTTTTGGGGGGTTGGAATATGTTCAAAAGCTAGATTTCTGCATTCTGTCACACACACACACACACACACACACACACACACACACACACACACACACACATAGCTACATAAATGGCTCTAAGTGCATTCATGTGTTGAATAAACAAAGATTACATGTTAATGTTTTGTTAGTACCCTTATTTCATTGTGTTACATTTCACCCCAGGATATGTTACAACTAACCCAGACTATGGGGTTAATTGTAACATTTCACTCTTTGTGTTTGAGGCCATACCATGCAATGGGTAATTGTGCTGCAGAGAAAATAGCTGCACTATTTAATAGCAGAGACATGTAAATACTTTGCATTACATTTTGAATCCACTACCTTAAACGAGCTCCAATTTACAGACAGAAATGTGAAAAATGTGACAACTATCCCCGGTCTCCCCTACTTAAATGCACATCTTAATAGATTTGTACAGTGATGCTTTGTGTGGACACTCAAGTAAATGTAATCACAAAGGCTGTGTGTGTGTGTGTGTGTGTGTGTGTGTGTGTGTGTGTGTGTGGTGTGTGTGTGTGTGTGTGTGTGTTTCCTTATATGCTGACTGACCCTGTTGAATGCAAACCTTTTTTGTATTCTAAAATAAACTATGACTTGTAAACTTAGCAGTATTTTATAATTTCTTGTTTTTTCTTATGAAAAGCTCTCCTGGGAGAGAGCTACTGAGAAATGGTTTAGCATTTGTTGTTATCATTGTTGTCATTGTTATCAGAGTGAGTACAGTAACCACAACATTATATTAGCCACAAGCTTTTAACTCTCTGGAGTCTAGGGTAGCGGTCCCCAACCCCCGGGCCTCGGACCGGTACCGGTCCGTGAGTCGTTTGGTACCGGGCCGCGAGAGTTGAGGCCTCAGGTGTGAAATGTGTGGTTTTCAGGGTTTTTATCGGTTTTCAGCGTTATTTGTTATCGTTTTTATCATTAACTCTGTTTTCCTGGGTCTTTTCACGTGTGTTATGAATAAAGCTTCTTTTTTTCTTTTTTTCGGTACCAGTACTGCTTTTATTTTGTTGTATTTATCAGCGACACCTTAAAGGCCGGTCCGTGGCGCAAAAAAGGCTGGGGACCGCTGGTCTAGGGTACAATCCTTATATTTCACCTTTAAAAACTGTTTACTGGATGGTTCTTCTGTCAAGGCTCCCTGTGTGGCAGACAATGTTGATCCCAAATGCAGAACTCAGCAGAGTTGACACAGACTGAATCATGAAGTACTGACTCCATTTTTTTATTCAAGTAAAAATGAAAGAGTACAGGCTCTGAAATGTACTCAGAGTAAGAAACTGAAAAGCTGTTTGAGGGACATTTCTACCGGTTATCTTTGTGAAAGGTAACTGAACCTATTAATGAATAATAATAATATTAATACATGAGATCACAAAGGGTTTTGTTTGTTAGTTTTCTGTACTTTGCCTCTATACCAAAACAGATAACGGGTCTAAAGTGGGCTGTCACAGGTGGGGAACCCTAGCATCAGGCTCAGTGTGGGGGAAAGAATCACAGTATTATATGTAGAGTGGCAGTAGATCATCTGAGAGCACATGCTGTGAGCAGCTGGCCTGCCTCTACTCCTGCTGCTGCTCTGAGGTTTACTGCTCTTTGACAATTTACAGCTGAATACAGCAGAAAGGTTATCTCAGCTGATTTCCTCTCCCCACACTGACAGTATACTCTTCATACTATCCAGCACAATGTTAGTTAACTACAGCTACTCTGCAGCAGTCCAACATAGAACGCTACCATTAATTACCAAAATACAGCAAGTTTTAACTGCTTTATGTGTTTCATAAACTGCAGAATATTTTCATGCAACCTTTGAATAACAAAAACTATTTTTAGAATACTTCTTTTTAGTTTGCTGTTTCACAAAACAAACTAAAAACCATCAACAAACGACTTAAACATAAACAATCACAAAGAAAAAGCAATGCAGTATCCACATCTGAACCAAAGAGTAAAACAGTGAAATGTGGATTATTAAATATTAGGTCTCTCTCCTCCAAGTCTCTGTTAGTACATGACTTAACAATTGATCAACAAATTGATTTACTCTGCCTTACAGAAACCTGGTTGCAGCAGGATGATTATGTTAGTTTAAATGAATTAACACCCCCGAGTCATTCTAACTACCAGAAACCTCAAAGCACAGGCCGAGGGGAGGTGTGGCAGCAATTTTTCACACCAGCCTATTAATCAACCAAAGACCCAGACAGACTTTTAATTCATTTGAAAGCCTGATGCTTAGCCTCGTCCACCCCAGCTGTGAAACTCA